AATCTTACTATAAGATAAAATGAGACAGCATTCCCCGCAAATGCTATCTCTCTCAGTCGTATTCTGCCAACTTTCGGCTTCATGCTGTGGACAGAATGCTCGGTCTATATATATATGTCGTTGGTCAGAATATGCTGCTTGATGTCGTTAATCGACCAATGAGCGAGAACTGAGATGAGAGCTTAAGACTGTCTCATCGAAAATTTGAGAATTTATCTAGAAATCATATTCTGCGTTACGTATAATTTATCGAATTGAATGAAAAGACTTTATATCGCGCCTCGCTGTATATTAAAGCGTTTTATTGGCGAGTTTACAATTTTGTCCGATATTTCGGTTGGATATCGGCCTTTACGCATTATCGCGCTATTAACGAACACGAATTCAACGCTGCTATGGCAAGTTATTGCGCTTTTGCCAATTTACATGGAATCTCGGATTTTCTCCGTTGGAAACATTTATTACGTTAAGATACACCCGTGTGTATAATATTATGTTGTTACGTTAACTTTTATCGGATACAAAGTCTTAAAAGTATTTAAATCAAACTGGCCTTTTGCCATGTTATTATTTAACAGAAAATAAGAGTATCTATCGGATTAGATCTCTTTTAAAATGAATATTTAATTATGACCTTTACCTGACGCTATACGCTAAGTGGCTTTACACAGGCAAGTGACTCTACGCAGGTAAGTGACTCTACGCAGGTAAGTGACTTTAATATACTATATTTTGAGCGAATTCACTCTATTATAATTATTATATTTATAGGTGAGAAGAGGAATTAAGGTAAGTATAATTTTACATTCTTATATATAAACGTATGAACTATATATTATTTTGACATTACAACTATGTTATAGTATAGGGGATAATAAATGTAAATATAGTTTAAATATCGCATCCTGCTTATTGGCATGTCAAGTCAGCATAGAGTATTACAACGTTCTTCATCATTGCAGCTCTTCGCCTTGTGGCTGCAATGGACTTTCCCGACCGGGCTTGAACTTCCCGTAATCCCCATGCTGTTCTGCCTCCGCTATCTATCTCTGAAGTTCCGCTGCAACTCCTTCCTCAGACATCGGTGAGTATTGTGCTCGGAAACTATTCTCCGAGTATTCGACTACTTCTTCCCCTGCGATATCCATTGGCCATTCGGCAGCGATCATGTCGGCTACCCCCATCGGCTTCTCCGGCTGCTCTGTGGCTGTCTCATTGCTACTCGCAAAATCTTCCGATGCAACCGACGCTCTATTAGCGGATGATTGCATTCTCCTCGCCGATTGTGAGCTTGGAGAATCTAAGCGAGACAATCTGACTGTACAATAAGGAATGATTTTGTAAATTATTTCCTTTATATTTTGCCCCTTTGGTTGCTTGTCAGATTTTCTACCAAACGAGAATCTTCCCTTTGCGTCTTTATTTTGATTTGCTGAGACTACTTGTCTAATAGTTGGTTCTCGTTTCGGTGATCTTTCCCATGGCATTAGTTTCTTCGGGTATTTCTTTTTATTTGTCTTACGTTTTTTAGCCGGCTGCTCAATCTGTTGTGTTTCTTGTTCGCCTTCGGATTCTGAATAAATGTTGCTTTGTCCTCCGGTTAATTGCTGCCAGTCGTTTTCGTTATCTGGAATGCCGGTTGACGGTGTTTGTACCTCCTCTTCAGGATGCCATGTCGGTTCCCGATCTTCCGTGTCGATTCCTGGAACTTCTATTCGTATCTTAACCCCCTGGTTAACTATGTCTATTATTATCCTAAATTTTCTATCAGCTAAATTATGCGGTGGTAACTTACAATTAGCTGTTATATTTATCGTATCGTTGTACGTCTCTTCTTGATTCTCATTTTTGACTGAGAATTCATCTTTTATCGTGATTATTTCTGACGGTTTTTTATTCGCTAAATCTATTAACTTTCTGGTTTTTTCTTCCCAGCTTTTATTTATTTTATCTAGCTCTTGCTGATTTTCCTCGATTTCCGGTAGTTCGTTTAGTGTTTTTCTTAACTTGATCACCTTTTCCGCCAACGAGTACATTAGCTCTTTATTCTTCGTGCGAGAGGTTACCTCGTCTGTCAGTTTGTTTAATTCTTGTAGTAACTCCCTCGGCGTTGAGAATTCTTGTAGAATTTTATCTATGTTTTCCATCTTGTTGCTCCTACGCTTCCTTTTATCTTTTTTACTATGTTTTCGCGACTTTTCGCGAATAATATTCTGAGTTTCAGGTTTTCGGTGTGTCACCCACGTGTTAGATACTCGAGAAGAAGACAAGATGGCCGCCTCCCGCTCGGTTAGCCTTTCTGGCTTGTGCGCATGCGTCACCGCATTAGTGCGCATTTTCATTGCGAGTCTCTTTAAGATTATATCAGCTTTATTTATTAATGGTATTATTTTATTATTCAGGCTGCTATTAATAATCTCGGCTTGACTATTTGTTGTATTTTGATATTCAGATGGAGTTTTAGATTTATCTGAATTCTTTTTTAGTAATTTGTTGCGATTTTTTCTAGCTCTTCTGCTATTGGTTGATCTTGATTGACTATTGTCACAGACGAGTATTGCTGTATCTTGAGCCCTCTTTTTGTGTTTTGCCGTTACTTTATTGTATTTCGGCTTATCATTTATATTTTTTCTTGACGAATTATCAGAGTTTTTGTTTACTCCTCGCCAGCCTTTATTCTTCCGGTTGGAATTCTGAGATCTTCTGTTGTTGTTTCCGCCATTGGCTGAAATTTTCATTGTTGTAGGGTCGTCAGAGTGCCTCTTTACTCCTCGCCATTTCCTCTTTTTTGAAGTGGTTATCTTCGTTGCTCGAAGAATTGCAAGATTTATTTAATTTATTGTTTGGATCGTCTCGCTTACGAATCCATATATTCGGTTTATCATTGTTGTCGTTTGCATGCGAATCTGCCTTATAGGCTAAAGTTTTCGCTAATTCCAATTGGTCCCATAGCTCGTCTGGCTGGTGTTCATGAAATTGCGATTGTATCTCCTGCTCCTTCTTCTCCTCGTACGAATAATTTGATCCTCGGGTCCTTGACTGACTTTTTTGTACGACTGACACATCCTTTTGACGATGAGTTGTATACACCTCGACGGGATCTCTCGCCCTTGATGCGTTGGTTTTAGCCGCGATATTTTGTCGTCTCTTCCTGTGTTCGCTCCTCCTTCTCAAGTCTATTGACTCGTTCGAACTTTCGCTGCTGACAACTATTATTTTATTTTCGTCCTCTTCCTCGGACGATATTAACGGTTGAATCTTTTTATTAATTTTCGCAAATCTTCTTATTTGCGTTGTTATAGCCTTGAGTTAAGTATGAATGTGTTGGGTTGTGTCGATGATTACGGCAATTAGAACACCATTTGTGTCGCTGTGTGTACAAAAGTGTCTAGTGATTTTACAATTGGAAAGCACCCATAGTCGACAGACAAATATTTATTCGCGATAAAATTAGTAAGTATTATTAATTCACCACAGGAGCTTATAAATTTCAATATTCTGTAATTTTAAAATTATTAAAGATGTTTATACAGTTATCCCGTTTTGTGTATCACAAGAGATCCATAAGGAAATTTAAATAAGAAATTTTAAGTTATTATACATATATTATCGATATAATTACATTATATTATATTAAAATAATTTGTATCATTTATTCATCTGCATGTTACATAAAATCTGCATATATTTTTCGTGAACAAATTTTTTTAGTAAAACTTATATATGTTTATATTTAGAATATGTTTTGTAATAATATAAAGTATAATGTTTTATAATAAATTAATAAGCATGACATTTTATAGCTAATGCTATTATGATGATTCCTGATACTGTAGAAGCAAGGCAGTTCTTTAATCTTAAAATCAGTAATAAATTAAGTATGTATATTTTTATAAATAGATTATTGATTTTTATTATTATTTTTTTTTATTAATATGAAAATTTTGTTGTAGGAAGTAAGATTAGTATTGTTTCTTCAGATGCTGATGAAACTGGTACAACTGATTCGGACGAACTTGTTTTAATTACATCTAATAACAATTTAGGTATATATTGATTGAATAAATGAAAACTTGGCTTTTCTTTGTTTAATTGCTACTATATAAATGTTTTATTGTAGATACTTGTACTTCTTTTCTTTCATCGAGTTCTCCACCAGTTAAGTGGACAGATGCCAATGCTGTGAGGGTACTAATTTCACAATGGAAAAACCACAAAAGTGATTTCAAAAGTACTCGTATTAGAAATAATAAAATGTGGCAAATGATAGCGGATGATTTGAAAAAAGAAAATCCCTTGTGGAGCTTTAGTGGTACTCAGTGTGAAAACAAATTCAAAGATGTTCGAAAATCATACACTAAAGTAAAAGACCACAACAACCAGAGTGGAGCAGAATTGAAAACATATAAATTTTACGATAAAATGGAGGCTATTTTAGGTGAAAAACCAATAGTGAAACCTCTTTCAATATCATCAACTTTAAAAAAAAGGAAATATCCAAATCTGAAGACAGCACAATCACCATCTAATTCTGACAGTGACGAAAAAGAAAATGATTCAAAGTCAAATAGGAAAAAAAGCAGAACAGCAAAAGAATTAGACAAATGGAGCATGCAATAAAGAATAGAAGCAGCAGAACGAGAAGAAGCTAGAATGAAAAGACATAAAGAAAAAATGGAAAAACAAAAAAAGCTATTATGATTTATAAATAGCAAATGGAAAAATTAATTGAAAAGCTCTAAGTAAAAAGAATCTACTTGTTTTTATTATTTTTTTATAATTTACAATTTTAGAAAAGTTAAAATAATTTTTATTATTTTAAAAGTTAAGATAATTTTTTTTTATTCTTTCAGAAGTTATTGAAATATTTATTTTTTCTTATCTACTTTTTTTGTTTGATATTCAATATTCTTAAGATAAATTTCATTTATTATTTTCATATAAGTATTTTATGTTAAAATGGTTAAATATAAAATTCTTCCATTTTTCTAGTCACCATTTTTTGTGTAATATACATATAAATAAAATTATAAAGTCATTAAGATGCTATTTAGTTAAGTTTTGTCATCAACAAAATAAAAAATTATTTTTATATTAATTAAATGTCTAAAAAATATGCATCTATTAATACATTGCAGTGTTATAATTTTATTCAGAGTAATTAAAAATACTCTTTTTATGTATGAAAATTATTGTTATATGAAAATATTATAATTTATTTTACATTTTCATATCTTTCATGTTTGTGTAATAATGTTATCCATGCAATGTAAATTCAAAAAATAAGAGATATACAGGGTGTCTCATACTCAATGGTACAGCGCTTGTGGGGAGGTAGTGTAGACCAAACTGAACAAAAAAGTCCTGTACCATTTTACGATCTTTGCAATAGTTTTCGATAAATAATATTTTATATTTTTGCAGTAATGTAATTCTACAATACAGGGTCCATTATGAAAGTAATGCGCATTTTCTGGGAAAAATAGATTTATTGATCGTACTTGTACAAATGCTTAAAATTCTTCAAAATACTCTCCTCCTGCATCGCAATACACTTGCGGAGACGTGTTTGCCACGCCTGAAAGGCACCCTGAAACGATCCTCGACGGGAATGCCTCTCAGAAATGTTGTAACATGCTTTTGGATGTTTTCCACGGTCTCCCAATGTTTTCCTTTCAGCTCTCTCTCGAGTCGGGGAAACAAAAAAAAGTTGCATGGAGTCAAGTCGGGACTGTAAGGGGGTTGGGGGACCACCGGGGTGTTGCTCCGGGCCAGGAAGTTGGTAACGATGAAGGCCGTGTGACTGGTGGCATTGTCATGGTGGAGCTTGACCGTGTCTTTAATGTCAGTCCTCACCCGGCGTTTCAATCTCTTGAGCACCTTCAGGTAAAAGGCTGAGTTGATAGTTTGTCCCTGCGGTATAAACTCATAATGGACGATTCCTTGGACGTCAAAGAAGACAATGAGCATTGTTTCGATGCGTGACTTACTCATTCGCGCTTTCTTGGGGCGGGGGGATGATTTTGTGTGCCACTCGCTACTCTGCCTTTTCGATTCTGGGTCGTACTCGAACATCCAGGATTCGTCTCCGGTTATGACAAAGTTCAGAAAGTCCGGCTCATTTTG